CGATCCCAGGACCCTGGGATCATGACCTGAGCTGAAGGCAGTCACTTAACCAACTGAGCCACCCAGGCGCCCCAAAATTATAACACTTTTAGAAGAAAATATAAAATAACATCTTTTGACACTGGAGAGAGGAAGAATTTCTTAAGCAACACATCAAAAGTGCAAAAAATAAATAGGCTGATAAACTGGTAAAATTATGAACTTTTGTTCATCAAAAGAGACAAGAAATGAAAGATATAGACAAACCACAAATAGGAACAACACATATACAGCCTTGGGGATATCATGGGCTCAGTTCCAGACCAGCACAATAAAGCAAATATTGCACTAATATGAATTAAATGAATTTTTTGGTTTCCCAGTGCAGACTACAAGTTATGTTTAAACTATACTGTCTTTTAGGGCACCTGGGTGGCTCAGTCAGTGCATCTGCCTTTGGCTCAGGTCATGATCCCAGGGTCCTGGGATAGAGCCCCACATCAGGCTCCCTACTCAGCTGGGAGCCTTTTTCTCCCTCTCCCTCTTCCTCTGCTGCTCCCCCTGCTTGTGTTCTCTCTCACTCTGTCAAATAAATAAACTATACTGTCATTTATTAAGTGTGCAATAAATAGCATTATGTCTAAAAAAGCACATATCTTAATTAAAAAATACTTTATTGACTACATCAAAAACTAATGATGTAATGTATGGGGATTAACATAAGAAAATAAATAAATAAAATCTTTAAAAAAAAAAACAAAAAAAACTAATGATGTAATGTATGGTGATTAACATAATAAAATAAAATTTAAAAAAATACTTTATTGGTAAAAAATGCCAACCATCATCTGAGTTTTTAATGAGTCATACTCACGGATAATAGATCTCCGTAACAAATATAATAATAACAATGAAAAAGTTTGAGATATTCCAAGAATTACCAAAATGTGACACAGAGACACAAAGTGAACAAATGATGTTGGAAAAATGGTGTCAAGAGAATTGCTTGATGAGGGTTGCCACAGACTTTCAATTTGTAAAAAACGCAGTACCTGTGAAGCACAGTAAAGTGAAGAGCAATAAAATGAGTGTGCCTATAATAAAAAAAACCCTCCTAAAAATCAATTTTAAAAAACTTCAATAGGGGCGCCTGGGTGGCTCAGTTGGTTAAGCGACTGCCTTCGGCTCAGGTCATGATCCTGGAGTCCCTGGATGGAGTTCCGCATTGGGCTCCCTGCTCGGCAGGGAGTCTGCTTCTCCCTCTGACCCTCCCCCCTCTCATGTACTCGTTCTCTCTCATTCTCTCTCTCTCAAATAAATAAATAAAATCTTAAAAAAAAAAAAAAACTTCAATAGAAAAAATGGACAAAAGACATAAACAGCCGTTTTATGGGAAAAGAAACTTAGTTGGCTATGTATTAGTCCGCTTAGACTAACATAACAAGATGTCATAGACTGGGTTGCTTAAACAAAAAAGTTATTTGTCACAGTTTTGGAGGCTTGGAAGTCCAAGATCAAAGTGCCAACAAGGTAGGTTTCATTCTGAGGCTTCTCTCTTGATTTGCAGGCAGCTACCACCTCCGTGTGCTCACTTGACCTCGTGTTCGTGTGCACAGTGAGTTAGTGGGTTCAAGGGGAACGGGAGGGGTGGAGAAAGAGAAAGGGAGAGAGGAAGGAAACAAGTTTTGTGGTATTTCTTTTTATAAAATCACTAATCCCATCATAAGGGACCCATTCCCCTGACCTCATCTTACCCTAATTACCTCCCAAAGGCCCCATCTCCAAACACCATCACACTGGGTGTTACGGCTTCAACATGAATTTGGGGGAGGAGGGACACAATTCAGTCTGTAGCATCTTATAAACATCTTTTTACTGCCTAATCTCATAAATGATCAGGTAATGTAAATTATAACAAAATGAAACATCATTTTACACTCACCAGGTTATACAAAATTTAAACATCTAATGATATTAAGTGTTGGCAAGGATGTGGAGGAGGGGAACTCATTCACTACTGGCGGGAATGTAAATCGGTCAGAGTTTCGAAAAGAGGTATTTTCTAGTGCAATTGAAGATGTACATGCCATATGTTTGAGCAGTTCTGCTCTCAGATATATACACTGGTTTTCAAATTGCTGGGTGCAAACCAATAGTAAATTGGGAAATTAATTTTAGTGGTGCTGAAGTGTAATTTCCCAACAGGTAAAATTAGGACTGTCATAGAAATATAAAATTAACACATGCCAAAAATGTTATTTATATTAATTAATGAGGGAGCCAGTAAAATGGTACAGGAATGCTGTATGAATTTGCTAAGAATCAGGAATGTTGAAATTGCTGAGAGGGAAAAGTGGTTTAATATGCCATAGGTTAATATAACTTAATGTTCGTTTGTTTGTTTGTTTTTTGAAGATTTTATTTATTTATTTGACAGAGAGAGACACAGCGAGTGAGGGAACACAAGCAGGGGGAGTGGGAGAGGGAGAAGCAGGCTTCTGGCAGAGCAGGGAGCCCAATGCAGGGCTCCATCATAGGACTCTGGGATCATGACCTGAGCCGAAGGCAGACGCTTAACGACTGAGCCACGCAGGGGCCCCTAACTTAATGTTTTTTTGTGTAATCTTTTCTACAGAGTGGACAAGAATTATTTGAAATACCCATTTTCTTGCAAAATAGCTTCATCAATAGAAAGTCATAGGTCCTTATGGATTCAAACCCTTCCAAAGTCTGCTAGACAATGCCTAGCCTTACACTAAAAGGGCACCCAAGTAATCGCTTTTGCTCATTTCCGAGTCTTGGACAATAATTTTTCTGACAAGGGGTCCCTGTTAGCACTTTTTGGTAATGAATCGAAAAGAAGAAATAGAAATTTAGTGAATTGTTGGCAGTAAGTATATAGTTCTGTGAAATTTTTGTTTCATATATATATATCTGTATATACCTATGTGATATTATTGGGTTTGAGGTAGAATGTTTTTGTTCACTGTCGGCTGGGATCAAAATATTTGAAAGCCACGGATGTGACATATTATGAGGTTTTGAGGTTCAACAGTGGAAAGAACTAGACATTTGGAGTTCTCCCTTCCCTCAAAAGCAGGCATCCATCCAAATGCCAGGCTTAGGCAAACTTAGAAAACGATTTGAGGGGAGCCTGGGTGGCTCAGTCGTTAAGCGTCTGCCTTCCGCTCAGGTCATGATCCCAGGGTCCTGGGATCGAGCCCGGCATCAAGCCCCGCATCGGGCTCCCTGCTCCGCGGGAAGCCTGCTTCTCCCCCTCCCACTCTCCCTGCCTGTGTTCCCTCTCTCGCTGTGTCTCTCTCTGTCAAATAAATAAAAATCATGTTGTTACCCATGAAGCTAAAGTTATACGTCAATTACATCTCAATTACATCTCAAGTTTAAAAAAAAAAGAGAAGCGCAGCGCTGGTGTTTGTCTCTGTCTTTCTTTAACACTGAGGTTCGCTGGCTATTCTGGGACGCCACAGGAATGGAGAGAACGTAGGTGCAGTGGAACGGTCGAACCGGCCAGCCCCAACAGGCAAGAGCTTGGACGTGCCGCTGTGCAGTTGGCCGGCGGGAAATCCAACACCAGCCCCGGGCCACAGCCGCTAGGCTGAGGGAGCCGCCGCTACCCGCGAGCGGAAAAACACTGCGCACGCGCAGACCTGACGGGGGCCGGCGGCGCGCGAGAGGCGCTCCTCAGCAGGCCTCCGCCGATCGCTGTGCCGTCACCTCCGCCTCGTCCGCCCAGCGGGGTTTCCCCCGCCCCCTCGGCGCCGGCGCTGGTCGTGACTGCGCGCGCAGGGCCTGAGCGGGCGCCGGCGGGAAGGGGAAGCGGCGGGTAAGAAGGGCCTGCGTCCGGGTGCGACTATGACGGGGTTGGGAATGACCTCTTCGCTCTTACGGCTCTTGGGACCCCTGAGGAGAGGAGAGGAGCCTCTGGAAACGGTTCCTCGGGCCGCTCAGGCGTGCCTCTGATAGTCAAAGTGTTTTCGCCCTCACCTTTCGCTTGGCCTCGTCGGGTCCGCTCCTGCCTCTCCTTTCCCCGCCCCCACCGGGGAATGCGAAGGCCGAGCCCCCAACCTGTCAGCTAGCCCCAGACAAGTGTGAGATGCCTTCTCCGCCATTTAGGTAGCGCCGAATGTTTATCCTCTTGTAGTGTCGCAGCAGCTTAGGGGTAACTCTCCAGATCCCCCACTCAAGCACAAAGAGCCTCGGTTTTTTGACGCTTGCTTTTTCTGCCACCCTTTGCTGAAGCAGCTTCCCGATGCTCTCGGCAGTAAAGTCAAGGCCACCAAACATAGGTCTTCACTTCTGGGCATCTCCACCGTTTCCTAATAATCTTCCTTTCAAGCTTGGGTCTCTTCCTCGCATCCGTATGCAGTGTCCCGGAGTTATGCTCTTTCCTTTTGGAAATATGGCCACACATGTGCCGCCTTTTGGAATGAAGCTCTTCACTGGCAGTGGGATAGTATCAGCAATTACTAAGAAGCATGGTAACACGTTAGGATTTCTGCTGTCTGCTACCCCAGTGGGTGGATATTCAGTCAACTATTTAGTAGCAGGAGGCAGCATTTTAGCTCAGTGGCTGTGCTTGATGCCTCGAAGTTGGGGGCAGAGGAGGTACCTTGTAATCAAGCCCCTAGGGTTCAAAATTTGCTGACAGGAAGAAATCTAAAACAGAAAAAAAGCCTAACAGCCATGTCATGTTTAATAATATTCTGCAGGTCAAATTTCAATGTAGAGACAAACGCACTGTTTGCTTTTATATGCCGATTAAATGTAATATGTTGACATTCTGTAAATGCTCATTGGAAGTTTTAGCCGCTGCTTTGGAACTTCTCAATCAGATTTCTCAATTCCTAGATAATCATGATAATCAGCTTAGTTTTACTTTGATAAGTTTGACTGAATGCTGTAAACTTAACCGCTTTTTTCTAACATCAGCCCACACCTTTCTGTCAGTCTTATTACTACTTCCCTTTGATGCCTAGATTACAAAACCGTAGTCATCTTGGATTTCCCTTGTGCTTCATCTCCAAATGTATTATATTACTGGATCTCATGGTTTCTTTATTTAAAAAGTAAGTTGGATTTATCCCTTAGATTCTCATTGTTGGAGCTGTAAGGCTGTTTTCAAGGACTTTGCTACCTCAGCTCGTTCCCTGGAAGGTTCATGTAACAGTTCTGAAACATGACTGTTGTCATGTTTACTCTTGCGTCTATAGTGGCTAAATTTCTGTGCTTGGGTTTCAAAGCCTTTTCTCTATAACCTGGCCTAATAAATCCTATGCATGTGATATGGTGGGGAAAGCCCAGGATTTAGAGTAATAAGACTTGGATTCAAATACTGAGACTGTCGTTATACTAACACTGTGTCCTTGGGAGACTTTGAGCTTCAGTTTCCTTTTCTCTCATTTCAAATAACAATACCTTTTCTTCCAGCCTCTTAATTATTGTGAGGATTACATTTGGCAGAATATGTGGAAAAGCTATCATAGTTAGACAAAACCTAAGGTATTGTTATTTCTCATTGTACTCGTTCATTTCACAGATATTTGAAAACTTAATATATGTTAGGTACTGGTACTTTCACTACTACTGCGAAAGATAGTCCTTGCCCTTAAGAGACTGTCTTTCAGGAAGCTTTCAGAGAATATATGTGTCTGTAGGAAGTAGGGTGGTAGAGTGTCTGACAAGGTAGAGTGTGATAAACACTGTAAAATAGGCAAGTTTAGGATGAGCACCAAATCCAGAGGAGAGAGGAACAGGGAAGGTTCTGTAGGAAATTATGTTTGAACAGAGTCTTAAATTACAACAAAGACCCAAAAGGAAAAGGTGGGGAAGGATGTCTTGAAAGAGACACTTTTAGAGAACTGCAAATTGTTAAGGTTTTGTTGGAGTATTAAGTTCAAAGAAGAGTATGGGAGATAGGACTGGACAGGTAGACAGAGGTGAGATTTGAAGGGCTTTGTGTGCCAAGAGAAGTGTGCAAATTGAAGGATTGTAAGCAGACAGTTGGCCTGATCACAGTTGGTTTTTGAAAATTCATTCTCCCTAGAGTGTGTGCTTCCTTACTACAGTATACAAAAACTTCTGGGTGCCTGGGTGGTTCAGTTGGTTAAGCGAATGCCTTCGGCTCAGGTCATGATCCTGGAGTCCCAGGATCGAGTCCCGCATCGGGCTCCCTGCTCAGCGGGGAGTCTGCTTCTCCCTTTTACCCTCCCCCCCTCATGTGCTCTCTCTTTCTCAAATAAATAAATAAAATCTTTAAAAAAAACAACAATAAACTTCTGCCTTTGTGCCTTTTCTTATTTTCTTTATTTCACCTAGAAGGGTTTATGCCCTCTCCTCATATGTTAATCTTTATCTTGCAACATCCAGTTGCGACCCTGGTCGCATTTCTACCGTGAAGCATCCTCCAATTATTTTAGGCCCCATTACTTATTCCCTTCCCTGAAACCCTATTAGGAATAGTACCACACAGGTTTAGTCCTTATTTGTTTTGTGTGTGTTTTATGTCCCTAAGTAGATTGTAAGCTTCTTGAGAATAGGGAATGTTTGATATGTGTGTGAATAGAAGACGTGTTAAACACAAAAATATGTTTTCTGGTCTCCTTCTATTTTGTTTTTCAGGGTAGGACCAGATTATGGGCAGTAGTCCTTTTAATTAATCTGTCATCATGGCTAATGAGGACAGTCCCAAGGCTGGTGATAGTCCATTTTCATCAGATAAACATGCCCAACTCATCTTGGCCCAGATCAATAAAATGAGGAATGGAGAGCATTTCTGTGATGTACAGCTGCAAGTCGGGAAGGAAACTTTTAAAGTTCATCGGCTGGTTTTGGCTGCCAGTAGTCCTTACTTTGCAGCTTTGTTCACTGGAGGAATGAAAGAGTCCTCAAAAGATGTTGTACAGATTCTAGGAATTGAAGCTGGAATCTTTCAAATACTTCTAGATTTCATTTATACAGGTATGTTAAGTGAGCCTATCGCTTTGAGTGACGAATGATGTAATCACTCATGCATTGCAATGGGAATATAAATTGATACAACTTCTATGGAAAGTAATTTGACAATATGTTATTATGACTGAAAAGTTCATATCTTTTGACCCAGTATTCCTTTTCTAGGAATCATAAGGAATTAATTAGTGATGCAGGCAAATACTTATGTACCAGGATGTTTATTGTAACATTATTTATAACAGTACATAATTGAATACAATCTAACTACCCCTCAGTAGGTTATATGGTTAAATAAATTATGGCACATGTATGCATCATGGAATATATTTTTAGATCTCTCAAATTATTTAAATATATACTATGGAAGATTGTTTATAATATATTAAATGGAAAAAATTTTGGATATAAGTACTCAGTTTTGTAAAGAAAAAAAATCATTTTATTTGTGCACAGGAAAAAGACCAGATGTTGATAAATGTTTATCTCTGGATGGTGGAATATGGAAGATCTTTATTTTTCCCTCTTTTTCTTTTTCCCCTCAAAATATTTATAATCAGCATGTATTTTAATTAAAACTTTTATTTTTAAAATGTTTTTAAAGGGCGCCTGGGTGGCTCAGTCAGTTAAGCGGCTGCCTTCAGCTCAGGTCATGATCCCAGGGTCTTGGGATCCAGTCCCGCATCGGGCTCCCTGCTCAGCGGGGAGCCTACTTCTCCCTCTCCCTTTGCCTGCCTCTCTGCCTACCTGTGCTTCTTTCTATCTCTCTGTCAAATAAATAAATAAAAAATCTTAAAAAAAAATGTTTTTAAAAAGTTTTGATAACATTAGAAAACACACACAAAAAACTATGAAGTATAAGTTTTATATGATATGTAACAAATATACGTAGAAATAAGATTTGAAAGACACTAAAGTGTTAGTACAGTGTCTGTGAGAAAATGCGTGATTTTCATTTTTATACTTTTCTGCCTTGAAGTTTTTTTCTATGAGCAAATACAATATAATCAGAAAAAATGTTTGAAAACAAAGACTATGGTCATCATACTCTCCTTAAAGGACTACTTAGTGGGAGATAATTTTTTTTTTAAAGATTTTATTTATTTATTTGACAGAGAGAGATAGAGCAGAAACACAAGCAGGGGGCGTGGGAGAGGGAGAAACAGGCCTCCCACCAAGCAGGGAGCCCAATGCGGGGCTGGATCCCAGGACCCCGGGATCAGGACCTGCGTTGAAGGCAGGCGCTTAACGACTGAGCCACCCAGGCGCCCCTGGTGGGAGATAATTATGTGACCTGATAAAGTATTATTTATTTAGTGCATGGTATTTAAACCTCAAAAATGACAAAAGGAGATTTCTTTGTGTTGTTTCTTATTATGTTTTGGAAAATATCAGAAAATAACTCTTAATTTGGAGATTGTAAAAATGACTATGTTTTATTTACCGAAAGCAATGCAGCCCTATCTATTGGCTAATGTACAAATTAGCATTGAGGGATTTTTTTTTAACCTTTTCTAAATGACTTGTGTGAGCTGAAAACAGCTTCATAAATGTCCTGCTTCTCTTATTTGCAAAGTGTAAATTAACACAGATTAATCCAAAGGAATTAGTGTTGAACTATGCAAAAACAGAAGAAATGCTACAAGGTGTTTATTCTGCCTCTTGTCTAAGGGTAGCAGCAAGAGATACTTAGTGAAAGATATTCCTGGTACTATCACTATATTGGTGATTAGCACTTCCATCAAATAAATAAAAAGTGGTAAAACCCAGAGAAATAAAAGCTAGTGAACATATCTGGGAGAAATAACATTCTAGAATACTGACATTTAAAGCTATAATTGGTATAACAATTAAGAAGAGAATTTGGCTACGGGTAAAAGATATCAAGTGGCTTAACAAGATAGTTTCTTTTTCCACAGAAGTGAATTCATAGTAGGCATTCCAGGGATGGTATGGTGGCTTCATGATGTCCTTAGTGTCCTAATATTCTCCCAACATTTTGCTCTACCATCTATAGCTTGTAGCGTCTAATCTCATGATTGCTGAATTCCAGACAGTGGAAGGAGGAAGGGAAAAAGGCAAAAGGGCCTGCTAGCTGAGACTGTGCTCTTTTTAGGCTTTTCTGGTAGCCGTACCCAGTAACTGCTGTCTATATCCCATGGACCAAACAGTAAAAAGTTCATCCCTATCTGTAAATGAGGCTAAGAAATATAATTTTTAGCAGGGCACAATTACTACCCACAACGAAATCAAGGTTCTTTTTTTTTTTTTTTTTGAAGATTTTATTTATTTATTTGAGAGAGAGAGAGCACAAGCAGGACAGAAGGAGAGGGAGAAGCAGACTCCCCGCTGAGCAGGGAGCCCGACTTGCGGCTCGATCCCAGGACTCTGGGATCATGACCAGAGCCGAAGGCAGACGCTCAACCAACTGAGCCACCCAGGTGCCCCTTATTTTTTTAAAATAAGCTCTACGCCTCATATGGGGCTTGAACTCAGAACCCCCAGGTCAAGAGTCACATGCTGTACTGACTGAGCCAGCAAGGTATCCCATATGAATACTTTTTGTGAGGGGCGCCTGGGTGGCTCAGTTGGTTAAGCGACTGCCTTCAGCTCAGGTGATGATCCTGGAGTCCTGGGATCGATTCCCGCATCGGGCTCCCTGCTGAGCAAGGAGTCTGCTTCTCCCTCTGACCCTCCCCACTCTCATTCTCTCTCTCAAATAAATAAATAAAATCTTTAAAAAAAAAAAAATGAATACTTTTTGTGAGCTAAGCACTAGGGATATAGCAGTAAACAAGATAGACAGGGCCTCTGCCTTCTCAGAGCTTTATAAGTAGTGCAGTTTAGGTACTTAAAAATTTGAAATGAACTTGTGAGAGCCTCATATTCCTTAGTTGTAAAGTGGGGATAACATTTCATAATTCATGTGAAAATTAAATGAGATAAATTTTCATAAGTGTAAAAGTGCTTTTTGTAATCTATAAAGCCTTATGTAGTTATAGGACATTCTTTTTATTGCTCTCAAGTAACTCTTGGCTTTATCCAGTAGCAGCATTCAGCCTTCATAGATTACAACCCATGATCTTGTCCAAATTTGTTGTGAATTCTCATTTCATTCAATTAAGTCTTTTTTTTTTCCATTCAACTAAGTCTTATCTCAGTTTTCTCTGCAGCGTACCATTTACTGCCATGGTGGATTCCATTTCTTACTTTCGGGAACCCGTGTTTGCACTCAGCAAGCGATATTCTTCCTCTCACGATAATCACTTTGGCCATTAATTTATTTAAAACAAATTTTTTGAGTGCCTAGTGGGCGCTAGGCATTGAGAATACAGAAGGGGAAGGCTTCCCCCAACAGACTTTATAAATCTTATTGGGAATACAAATTTTAGACAAATAGTTTAGCGGGGTGAATATCATAAAAGGGATAAAGGGAAGTATAAGATTGAATGGAGAGTTTGTCCTTATCAGGTAGGAGAATTACATTGTTTTTCTTCCCTTCTAAATATATTTGACTAGTTGGTGTTCTCCCAAAGTCATATATGTAAATATATGGAAGTGAAGTCATCTAGAAAGAAAGTGGTGTACATAGTTACTTAAATGTTAAGTATTTAATAACTTCTCATATGTTATAGACACTTGCTTATACCTAGTATTAAAAATTAATGTTTGTGTGGTACTTTATCATAATTGAAGATGGGGACCCTGTCTTACCCCAGTGCCTCAGTAAATGTTAGATGCATATAGCCTTATGTTAAAATGTTGAAAGCATGGACTTTGATGTCAATCCCTACCCTCAGTCACTTGACCATGTGACTTGAAGATAAGTTATTTAAACTTTCTGATTCTTCAGGGCACTTGGGTGGCTCAGTTGGTTAAGCATCTGTCTCTTGATTTCAGCTCAGGTCTTGATCTCAGGGTCCTGAGTTCAAGCCCTACATTGAGCTCCATGCTGGGTGTGGAGCCTACTTAAAAAACATTTTTTTAATATATAATAAAATAAATAAACTTTCTATTTCTGTTAAATTGGTAGAAAAAGAAAAAATAATAACACATACTCTATGGGGTTGTAGTGACAGTTAAGTGAATGGATAAAACAATTAATGTTTCTGTCCATTGTAAGTGTTCCATAAATGTTAAGTATCATCATTTAAGTTTTGCACTCTTTATACAAATCCTTTGTTGCCTTTTTACTTAGCATCTATCTACTCAGCAAATACTAAGCTATCAGTAGATTTAAATATAATGCTTTCTTAATATAAGTCAAATGTTTGTTTTTATTTTGTTGGTTATTTTGTCTCCCTAATTCCCTAGGTATAGTGAACATAGGTGTGAATAATGTCCAGGAGCTGATTGTTGCAGCAGACATGCTACAGTTGACTGAAGTTGTTAACCTATGCTGTGAATTTCTGAAAGGACAAATTGATCCATTGAACTGCATTGGGCTCTTTCAGTTCTCTGAGCAAATTGCCTGCCATGATCTTTTGGAATTCACAGAAAACTACATTCATGTCCATTTTTTGGAGGTTCACAGTGGGGAGGAGTTCCTGGCGCTTACAAAAGATCAACTAATCAAAATTTTGCGAAGCGAAGAGCTCAGTATTGAGGATGAATATCAGGTCTTCTTAGCTGCAATGCAATGGATTCTGAAGGACCTGGGAAAAAGAAGAAAGCATGTGGTAGAAGTGCTAGAACCAATTCGATTCCCTTTATTACCTCCTCAGAGGCTTTTAAAGTATATAGAAGGTAATTTTTTTGCATATCAAATGAGTGAATATCCAGTGGCTTATTCTCTGTTTGAAATGTGATAATGTTTTCATTTTTCAGTTCAATAGCAGACATTTATTGAATGATTAATATATGCAAGATACAACTTTTGTGTTTTGCAGATAGTATTTCAGTATTTCTACCCATTATTTTGATCAAATTCTTACATACCTTTCTTGAGATTAAATACTAAGGGAGATTAGAGTTATAGATAAAATTACTGACAGAGCTAAAATACCACTGCTGTTTTTTGGTAGTACTGATTATTTCAGTGGAAGATTTCCTCTTGCTCCCCTAAAAAATTGAGCAAAACCTGACACTTGAGGAAAATGCATATGCTAAAAACAAAACCCAAACTCAATAAATCCTGTAAGTCTTCTCATTATAAAATTAACTTTTTATTAATATAATATCATAGCTTCTAAATAGCCTTTGAATCATCTTTAGGTACTAAACTGAAAATACTTTTCATTGTAGTATAAAATAGTATTAATTTTTATATTAGAAAAATGATACATACATATATAAATATATTAATTATTAATTGATATATTAATATTTTATTTTTAAGCACTCTACACCCAATGTGGGGCTTGAACCCACAACCCCAAGTTCAAGAGTCGCATGCCCCACTGACTGAGCCAGCCAGGCGCCCCATGTTTAAATTTATTTTTATAAACTACCTTAGACCTGGTTTCAAGATTTGAAGCTCTTACTCTTGTCATGCACTGAAACTTTAGGATGTGACTGAGTTACAAATGATCTTATCAATTAAATACACTATTAGCATTAAAGGTGTAATTCTGTGAAAGAATTATATTTAATGTGGATTTTTAGGGTTTTTTTCTACTCTTAACAATATTAACAGAATTTGATAGGTTTTTCTGAGTGATGTCTTTTTATTAATGCATATACATTACTCAGTCAATTCTTATTATTCACAATAGTTCTGTTCTATAAAGTTGCCACAAACACTGAATTGGCAAATACTGAGACATTGTTCCTAGGGGAAATACTGGTTAAGTTCTTACCTAGGTCACAGTATTTTTGCCACCTGATCAATACATAACCTTGTTTTATGTGTGTTTCTATCAAAAACATCTTATTTAATATATATACTTGATTTATTAATTTTGAACTCATGGCCAACAGCCTTATAACCCATGCCTAAATGAAACCTAATACATGTATTTATTCCATAAGGCACATTACAGGCTTCTTACAATCAGGAACACTAGACAGCACTTCAACAGTATGCTTGGAGTCATTTTTAACAATGAAATCACCAACAAAAAGCCCAAAAATGTGAAAAACATGGCACTAAATAGACAATGAAAAGGACACTTGTTTATAATATGAGAGCTGAAACACAAGGCAGAGCGTCACCTTGTTCAGTTCCCACCTGGAAACATGCATTCAGGTGATTCAGATTTTTTTCCACTCTGCAGCATGCCTGTGAATGACTAGGAAAGCACCATGAGTGTTAATTTGGGTTACAAGTGCATTTTAATGAGTAGATGTTTTCATAAGTAAAGGAATCCACAAATAATGAAGACCGATTGTATTTAAATGCTAAAACAAGAAGAGAGAAATTATCCAGACACATTTTTGCTTGAATCATATGAGAATTTAGGAGTGGGACAAAAGCTTTCATGGTTGAGTTGTCTTTTCCCAAGTTCTGTAGATACAGAGTGCTGCAGGAAAGTTCCTTTGCTAAGAGCAAGAGAAAGTTACCTAGAATTGGGGCATGTTTTCCTACAGGTTTTTAGTGTTATAATATTCAAACCTTGTACTGCTTATTAGCATGCCCAATAATTGTCAGCTAAAGGTATTTCACTGGAGTAAAACTGCAAGGAGTCAGGAAGAAGTAAATGGAGGATTCTTTTTAAAAGATTTTAATATATTTCAACTTTGAAACTTTCTTTTTGATCATATTAGAGAAAAGGTGGGCAGTTTATGTAGAAAAATAATGAGACTACCACAAAATTTAGAGAGAGAGCAAAAGACTTAATGGAAATGGTTAAATTATGTTATATGAAATATGTAGACTTCCCCCCAGTATATTTTTTTGTATTTACCACTGGAATAATTCAGGAAATTTAATACTACTAGCTATATGATAACACATCTATTTCTTGCCATTTTAGAGAATGACTACTTTTTAAAAATGGTACATCCTCTTATAAATGTTTAGGTAATAAAGTATAATAAAACAACAAATTCCCCCAAAGTCCACCACCCAGAAATAACCAGTTATAATTAACATTTAGTAAACATCATTCTAGATATCTCTGTATAGGATGATGGATGATGGGTGGATGTATGGTTGGATGAATAAACAGAAAATAATGTAAGAATCATTCAGTACATACTATTTATAATACAAAAAAGCATACTTAAATCTCATTAAAAGTTAAGAAATTGAAGTAATAACTAATTTCAATGAACGTTTATCTCAAGAAACACTCATTCTAAAAAGTTCTTATCGAGTTAAGGACAAAAGATGAAAATCATTAAAAGATGAAATAAAAGTTTCATTTGTGTTTCAATTTTATTTTTATTTATTATTTTTAAATTTTTAATTCCAATATTTTTAACATACATTGTTTTGTGTTTCAATTTTAAACAGTATAGACCCACTAAGAAAAATAAGGTAATTAGCATTATTATTTTTCTTCCTATGCCACCACCCAAGGTTTATACCTTTATATAGATTTTTTTTTCCAATCATGATTTCCCTAGCTCTGTGCTTTTGTTCTGTATTTAAATGAATTAATGTTGTCTACCAGTTTTTCAGTCTTTTTTTTTTTTAAAGATTTTATTTATTTATTTGACAGAGATCGTGAGAGCAGGAACACAAGCAGGGCAAGTGGGAGAGGGAGAAGCAGGCTTCCCGCGGAGCAGGGAGCCTCATGGGGGGCTCGATCCAGGACCCTGGGATCATGACCTGAGCTGAAGGCAGACGCTTAACGACTGAGCCACCCAGGCGCCCCTGGTGGGAGATAATTATGTGACCTGATAAAGTATTATTTATTTAGTGCATGGTATTTAAACCTCAAAAATGACAAAAGGAGATTTCTTTGTGTTGTTTCTTATTATGTTTTGGAAAATATCAGAAAATAACTCTTAATTTGGAGATTGTAAAAATGACTATGTTTTATTTACCGAAAGCAATGCAGCCCTATCTATTGGCTAATGTACAAATTAGCATTGAGGGATTTTTTTTTAACCTTTTCTAAATGACTTGTGTGAGCTGAAAACAGCTTCATAAATGTCCTGCTTCTCTTATTTGCAAAGTGTAAATTAACACAGATTAATCCAAAGGAATTAGTGTTGAACTATGCAAAAACAGAAGAAATGCTACAAGGTGTTTATTCTGCCTCTTGTCTAAGGGTAGCAGCAAGAGATACTTAGTGAAAGATATTCCTGGTACTATCACTATATTGGTGATTAGCACTTCCATCAAATAAATAAAAAGTGGTAAAACCCAGAGAAATAAAAGCTAGTGAACATATCTGGGAGAAATAACATTCTAGAATACTGACATTTAAAGCTATAATTGGTATAACAATTAAGAAGAGAATTTGGCTACGGGTAAAAGATATCAAGTGGCTTAACAAGATAGTTTCTTTTTCCACAGAAGTGAATTCATAGTAGGCATTCCAGGGATGGTATGGTGGCTTCATGATGTCCTTAGTGTCCTAATATTCTCCCAACATTTTGCTCTACCATCTATAGCTTGTAGCGTCTAATCTCATGATTGCTGAATTCCAGACAGTGGAAGGAGGAAGGGAAAAAGGCAAAAGGGCCTGCTAGCTGAGACTGTGCTCTTTTTAGGCTTTTCTGGTAGCCGTACCCAGTAACTGCTGTCTATATCCCATGGACCAAACAGTAAAAAGTTCATCCCTATCTGTAAATGAGGCTAAGAAATATAATTTTTAGCAGGGCACAATTACTACCCACAACGAAATCAAGGTTCTTTTTTTTTTTTTTTTTGAAGATTTTATTTATTTATTTGAGAGAGAGAGAGCACAAGCAGGACAGAAGGAGAGGGAGAAGCAGACTCCCCGCTGAGCAGGGAGCCCGACTTGCGGCTCGATCCCAGGACTCTGGGATCATGACCAGAGCCGAAGGCAGACGCTCAACCAACTGAGCCACCCAGGTGCCCCTTATTTTTTTAAAATAAGCTCTACGCCTCATATGGGGCTTGAACTCAGAACCCCCAGGTCAAGAGTCACATGCTGTACTGACTGAGCCAGCAAGGTATCCCATATGAATACTTTTTGTGAGGGGCGCCTGGGTGGCTCAGTTGGTTAAGCGACTGCCTTCAGCTCAGGTGATGATCCTGGAGTCCTGGGATCGATTCCCGCATCGGGCTCCCTGCT